CTGCCTGCCTGCCTCCCTCCCTCCCTCCCTGCCTCCCTTTCTCCCTCCCTGCCTCCCTTTCTCCCTGCCTCCCTTTTTCCCTCCCTGCCTCCCTCCCTCCCTCCCTGCCTGCCCACGTTCCCCAGAGAGCCCCTGCAGCCTGAGACCACTTCTGTCCATCCTGGGGATTTGCCCTTTCCATAGTGTGTCCTTGGTTTTTGGAAAACCTCACTGCATACAACATACAGCATAGGCTGAAGTCTGATTCACTCTACTTGGGTTTTGGTTTGGGGTGCCCAGAATGGGTGGGATGTGATGAGAAAGGAGGACCTCAGAGGACTTGTCCAGAGGTTCAAGAAACTAACTGGAGCAGGAGTAGATGTCTGCTTTGGACCCTGGGCACCTCCAGATCTCTTCATTCCTATTGTCTCGATCCCATAGCTCTCCAAGGGTTTGGACCCTGACAAGAAAGCCCTGAGGGGTACTATTGGTTCTGTTCAGAACACTCCTGACAGCTTTTCCAGTGGCACCTAACCTGGGCACAGTGGCATCTCCCGAGGAGCCTGAAATATTTATCATCAGGCCTGTTAGTGAAGATCCCCACTGTAGAACGCTGTCCGCTTGAGTTTTCTGGGGTGGAAATGTTCCTCGTCGGCATGGCCCACTGGTAGTTCTTGGTCACATGTGGCTACTGAAATACAAACTGAAGAGCTGAATTTTTGAAATTGAGTTTTAATTAGTTTAAACTATCACATGGCACTTTTCTTTTCTCCTGAAAAGAATACCTAGTGCTCCCCAGTTGCTGTCTAAAAATAGACTTTGTGGCCATCGTTTAGATGAAGTCAGTCTGGAAGTAGTGGTATGAACCAGCTGAGGCTGAAGGCTCTTTCCAGTTTTGCATATGACTTAAGACTTGGAAATAGTCTCGCATTAGGGACGAGTTAAGAGCCTAGATGAGTAAGAGCAGGCGAGAGCCCTGAGCAAGCCATCTCGCGATCAAGACCCATGTGTTCCGTTCACAGCCACATCCATCCTGAAGCGGCAGAAGCAGCTGCGGAGGAAGAATGTCCGCTTTGACCAGGTGACTGTATACTACTTTGCCCGGCGCCAGGGTTTCACCAGTGTGCCCAGCCAAGGTGGAAGCTCTTTGGGAATGGCCCAGCGCCATAACTCTGTACGCAGCTACACCCTTTGTGAGTTCGCACAGGAACAGGAGGTGAACCATAGAGAGATTCTTCGTGAGCACCTGAAGGAGGAGAAGCTTCATGCCAAGAAAATGAAGGTGCCTATGGGGCCTGGGGCCTGGTGCTTCCTGCATGCTGAGACCAAGAGGGAACCCCGCTGTGCTCAGTGATAGCGTTTATCCAGAGAGTGCTGTTTATTTTTCTAACGAGAAGTCTCATACTTTCAATCGGGTCTTAGTTTGAGTCTCCTGTCATCTCTGGCGGCACTGCCAACCAGAGACAAAAGACTGCTTTCCTGCCTCTGCTGTCCCTTCTTCCTGTCCCAGGGAAGCTTTTCTAGTGTTGTGTGAACACCTGAAACTTCTCAGGCCTGTCACCAAGACAGCACAAACTTCAGCTTGTCAGTGGTTGTCCTCGTCCTCATGAGCAGAGCAGAACAGGTTTCGGATCTTTCACCTTCTCTGAAGGTCCACTGCCCTCTGACCCCACATCATCACCCCAGAAGACTGACACCGTCCCCCTGGTGCAGAGAGTGGCATGATTTCACAGTTAGATTCATAGACTAGAACACCAGGGTACTGGAGAGGTGGCTCAGCACGTAAGAGCACTTGTTACTCTTTCAAAGGATCTGGTTTGGTCTCCAGCACCACATGGTGGGTGGTTCCTGTGGCGGGACTGGAGCTTGTTATGTCGACCAGCTGGCTTCAGGTCACTGATGTCTGCCTCCCTCTGTCTCCCAAGTGCTGGTGTTAAAGGCCACCACCAGATGTGGCCAAATAAATCATTCTTTAAAAAATACTGCAGCTACTGCCCTCTGCTGACGGCACCAGCAGACCCTCCCCAGACACCCGTGTGTCTGCCTTAGCGTGTTACGGCTCCATGTCAGAGTTGCCGTAAGTCCTTCCATGTTCCCAGAGATGAGGGCATAGCTCAGTGGTAGAGCACTCACCTAGTTCAGGAGAATGTGTGAGTGAGAATGAATGGGTGTGAATGAGAATTCTTTTCTGGGCCCAAAGCATGGGGTGGCTGCATGATTTCCAGGGGTGTAGACAAAGCTGACCAGGCTGTGGCGGCAGAGGGTACAGACTAACTAGGTTCCACCAGTTTGCAAGCTCTCAGCCTGTTCCTAAGGCCTGACACCTGTTCCTGTATTGACAATGACATTCAGCCTTCCCTTTCTTCCGAGGAATTCTGTCACTGACCCTGTCACCTCTCTGTTGCTATAGCAACAGCTAGACAAACATTCTTCTCTGTTGCGGTGAAGGTTTCCTTTCCTCTAAGACAGACGCTGGCCTCCTCCCCAGGAAGGTTTTCCTGTCTTTAGCGCCTATAAGGACACAGTCTTGAAGTAACATACATACAGTGTCTCTCGTGTGCCGTTTAATATTTCTTTTCCTTTGGGGCTATTCCAGTGAACTCTGTTAGAACTCTGTGACCTTCATTACATACAATTTTCTAATATTTCAGTTTTGTTTTATCCATATGGGATTCGTTATTGTAAGTAGTTTGAAGCGGTTGTTTTTGTCTGTTTTTGTTTTGGGGGGTGAATCTCATGGAGTCCATGCTGGCCTTGAACTTGCTGTGGATCAGGGCATAGCTCTGAGCTTTTCTCCTCTTGCCTCTATCACTTCCATGAGCCACCACACCTGGCCTTGACTTTTCTTTTCCTCAAGAGTATCTAGTTGTCCCAGCACTGTTTAGGACTAGCCGGCTGCATTGCTCTGAAATAGCCCTTCTGTGGAGATGGGAATTCTCCTGCTTGCTTCTCTGGCCCTGGCCTTTGAGAACAGCAGGAGTGCTGGGGAGGAGCCAGGACACAAACAAATAGGAACAGTCCTAAGGTCTACAGAGAGGAGCCTGGCAGCTGCTTGCCTGGTACAGAGGTAGCAGATGAGAAGTTGAGCGGGCGGGCGGGTTTCTCAGCTCCTCCGTTCCTTCCCCACGGCAGTGAGGTGCAGGCTTCCTGTGCTGTTGCATCACGCCTCCCACAGGGTTCCTCTCCCGCACTGCTCCGGGAGTCTGATGAAATAAACCAAAGACTCCAGCGACTGGGCTTTCAGCCTGCTAGCAGCTTCCAGGGCCCCAGGGGTGGGGCCTCGTTTTCTTTACTTAGATCCTCTAGTGAGTTTAGAGCTCATTCGGCCAGAAATTGTCTCCACCTGTCCTTCCAGAGAGTCCTGCCCTGGCTTTCTGTCCACCTCAGTGCAGAAAACTCAGATTTCTGCCCGTAGATAGCACACACAATGTTAACTTACACTGCCCTACCTCACAGGGTTTTTCTTTGAAGTGAGGTAAACCCGGATTAAAGGAAGAAAATACATCTGTTCTGGGCTCTGTGTTGGAAGTAAGAGTTTTGGTAGTGGTTAATAGTGGGCTGCCCACTCCCTTAACAGTACAGTGCAGTTCTTCTGAGTCCTCAGGTAATTATTTACAGTATGGGAATTCAGTTCATTGACAAACGCCCTGGAAGCTGGTGCTATACTCTAATATGCCCTTTTTCTCTGAAGGTAGTTTTGGGTTCTCCAGGGTTCAAGTCGAGGGTGTTTTACAAGGTTACCAGTGTCGCTGAGGACACCCAGCCACTGATACAGTTATAATGCAGGTAACAGTCTAGTAATGGAGGAATGTTTGTGGCAAACATTCCTCTGGACAGGATCTTGCTGTGTTGCTCCATGCCCCAGCCTCAGCTTCCTGAGTAGCTGGAGTCACAGCTGTGCTGCCAGACCTGGCAGAGACCGGTCTCTGAGGATCTAGGACTCAGAAAGGTAATGTCTCTGGTTGTGACAGGGTAGTGTGAGCCAGGTAAAGTTTCTGTCTTTCTGCTCTGGTTTTTGACCGCATCCTGTGCCGTCCAGTATGGCAGCCATTACTTATTTTGGCTATTTAAATGTAAAACTAAGTAAAATCCAGTTTCTCAGTCTTTTCATGTCTGGTGTTCCACAGTGGTGTAGGACAACACAGCCCCTCCAGGCTGCAGAGCTGGGGACTGTCCTGGTCACTGCATTGCTAATGCTCCAAAGCTGACCCTTCCTGTCTCCTGGCAGCTGACCAAGAATGGGACAGTGGAGTCAGTGGAGGCTGATGGCTTGACACTGGATGACGTTTCAGATGAAGACATCGATGTGGAAAACGTGGAGGTGGATGATTACTTCTTCCTCCAACCCCTGCCCACCAAGAGGCGACGGGCCCTGCTGAGGGCGTCCGGGGTCCACCGGATTGATGCCGAAGAGAAGCAAGAACTGAGAGCCATCCGCCTGTCTCGGGAAGAGTGTGGCTGTGACTGTCGGCTCTACTGTGACCCAGAAGCATGTGCCTGTAGCCAGGCTGGGATTAAATGCCAGGTCAGTCAGATTTGGCCTGAGATGGTATATATCTACACCAAGATTGGGGGTGTGGTGGGGTGCCAGTGAAGATAGAAAGCTTCCCATCCCGGGATGGCGGTCCTGTGGCTGAGACGATGCTCCAGCTCCACAGCCTCCCAGAGACAACAAGAGGGCAGGATTCTTAGACTGTGGAGGTGCCGTTATCCTCTGATGTGCCTCAGAGGTGATAGCAGCTGGCAGCACAGGAGAGATCGAGCTTGCATCTGCCGTTCGCCAAGTGTTCCTTAAATAGTGATTCTGAAGGAAACAGAAATGAGGGAGCCCAGGGATTCTTGCTTTTTTATTTTGCTTTTTCGAGACAGGGTATTTCTGTGTAACCCTGGCTGGCCTGGAACTCACTCTGTAGCCCAGGCTGGCCTCCAGAGAGATCCACCTACCTCTGCCTCCCGAGTGCTGGGGTTAAAGGCGTGCGCCGCCGCCGCCGCCGCCGCCGCCGC